TAAATTGCTGATGTATCCATACATAAGATTGGCTTTGCTAACTTTTTTTGAAATAGTAAGTCTAATTATGAATCAGATGTTGAGAGGTTCTAATGAAAAACCCAAAAATGTGGATATAAGCTAGGGAATGAGAAAAGCAGAATGTAGAGTAATATCCTAAATTTACAATTTATTTTTTAGCCTTAGACTGCCATTTAGGTTGACAAGTGACCAGGGCGCCTGGGTGGCTTAGTCGGTTAGGCATCCGACTTTCGCTTAGGTCATGATCTCGCGGTTCGTGGATTCGAGCCCCGCGTCGGGCTCTGTGCTGACTGCCAGCTCAGAGCCTGGAGCCTGTTTCAGTCTGTGACTCCCTCTCTCTCTGACCCTCCCCTGTTCACGCTGTCTCTCTCTCTCTCCTAGAAATAAATAAAACATTAAAAAAAATTTTTTTAGGTTGACAAGTGACCTTATGAATAAATATTAGGTCAAGGTTTTCCCTCTACCTCTATTAAACTTTGAGAGTTACACACCAAGTCATGCCCAGTGAAGCATCACCACATCCTAGCAAGATCCTGTGTATATGTGCTCATGAGCACATTTAATTGTATGTTTCTACATCCTCAGATTAGCCTTTTGGCAAAGTTAGCTCACTTCATTTGCAAAGGATATGGGGTAACCATGGTCCACTGTTGAGCAAAAGGGGATGAAGATCAGCTGGAAATTGCAATCAGGGAGAAGGTTTGGGTGTATTCTATAAAGCTAGGAGTAACACCAGGAAGTCTACCACATTTAACATAGGTTAAAAGAGTTGAGTTTTTAAAAACTCTTAAACAGAAGGTCTTCAAAACTTTAATACTCCCCCATCACACATTAAGTAATTGAACTTTGGTATCCATTTGTGCACGGTATGCACAATAGTAATATTCAAATATAATGTATTTGAGAGTCATATTGTCAGATCATACCTGCATCTGACAAGTATTTATTAAGCATTTACTATGTTGGGGATAGCAAAGTGAACTGGACAGACACAATTCCTCCCTTCAGGCAAGGAACTGCTCCTCGCCAACCAAGTGTGTTATGTCATTGACCAAGAAAGGTAAGTGAACAGTCTTTAAACTGTGGAATAACAGAAATGTTTTGTTTAACTACATACTTATTGACATCCAAGGAAATCTTTCTAGTCTAAAGCTGATTATAAGTTTCATAATTTCTGCTCTATGTATTCATGCTCTCTCTTTAAATTTTTTTAAAGTGTATTTATTTTTGAGAGAGAGAGGGAGAGAGAGAGAGCACGAGCAGGGGAGAGGCAATGAGAGAGGAAGACACAGAATCTGAAGCAGGCTCCAGGCTCTGAGCTGTCAGCACAGAGCCCGACGAGGGGCTTGAACCCACACACTGCAAGATCATGACCTGAGCTAAAGTTGGATGCCCAACCAACTGAGCCACCAAGGTGTCCCACTCCCTCTCTTTAAATATCAAATTCAAACATGATTGGCCAGGACTCATGACCTACCTTGCCAGCCTAATATTATTTTATATCCCTTCATCACTGCAGTCAAAAAGCTGAGTTTACTTTTAACATCACATTAGACATTATTGGATGGTCCCTATGATTAAGAACTCACTGTAGTGACTAGTTCTCTTATTCACCAGATTCACCAAAGAGCACAGGTTTCTCTCCCATAGGGAAAGAGTGGTTGGCTACTTTTGGGGCTGCCATATGAGAGTGTTTTCTAAAAGATGTCATATAGGATGGGTCCCAGAGTAGGCAGGGGTTGTTTAAGGTTAGGGATCACAAATGCATATAGAATAAACCAGGACTTCAAGGTCTGAGATCACAGAAAGAGAAGACCAAAGCAATGCCTGGCACTGGAACATATCTGTTACATGTCAACTTCCTAACATCACTAAGGAGGATTAAATCTGCAGAAAGATGAAAAATGGGCAGTCAGTGATAAAATCCAGAAAGCACACAAAGAAGTGACAGCACTGAGGAACATATCCTAGAAGAATTGGTCTTAACCATGTTTTCATATCCTCACTGGTATGATACACTGTTTTTGAGACCCTAGTAGAGTAGAGATTGAAAATAAGAAATTGTCCTGGCACCTGGGTGACTCAGTCAGTTAAGTGTCTGACTTTGGCTCAGGTCATGATCTCACTTCACGGTTCATGAGTTCGAGCCTGCGTCAAGCTCTGTGCTGATAGCTCAGAGCCTACAGCCTGCTTTGGATTCTGTGTCTCCCTCTCTCTACTCCTTGCCCATTCACACACACACACTCTCTCTCTCTCTCTCCCTCTCTCTCTCTCAAAAATAAACATTTAAAAAATAAAAAGGAAAAAGAAAATAAGAAACGGTCTTCCTTCCTTATCTAGTTTTTCTAGTTAAAAGTTTAAAAAGTACAGGTGTGCCTAGGTGGCTCAGTTGGTTAAACATCTGACCCTTGATTTTGGCTCATGTCATAATCTCACAGTTCATGGGTTCGAGCCTCACATTGGGCTCTGTGCTGACAGTGTGGAACCTGCTAGGGATTCTCTCTCTCCCTCTTTGTGCCCTCCCCCACTTGTACTCAATTAAGTAAGTAAGTAAAATCACTAAGTGAATAAAAAGCCTTGAGGCACCTGGGTGGCTAAGTCAGTTAAGCATCCGACTTCAGCTTGGGTCTTGATCTCACAATCCGTGGGTTCCAGCCCCGCATCGGGCTCTGTGCTGACAGCTCAGAGCCTGGAGCCTCTTTGGATTCTGTGTCTCCCTCTCTCTCTCTGCCCCTCCCCACTCATGCTCTGTCTCTCTCCATCTCTGAAAAATGAATAAATGTTAAAAAAATTTTAAGTGAATAAGAAGCCTTCCATTAACTTTCATGACTACACCAAGCTCCATACCAGAATTTTAGAATACAAATATTCAGAGGTGAGTTGGAGAAACAAAAATCACTCTCCAACTTCAGTTCTCAATCTGGCCCACATCTCTAACTCCTGCAGATTACTGTTATGAAACTGGGATCCAGCACTAGTCCATACTGAGTGCTGCTCCAGAGGCACAGGGTAAATGTTGTTGACAAAACTTCTTAGTGTTCTAATTAGTAAATCTTGAGAAGTGAATAATTCCTTAACTGAGTATGATGCATTTATAGTGTTAAAGGTGGAGGGCATGCTTAATCTGGTAATCACTTATAGAAAATGTGAGTAATTTCTCTGGAGAGAACAAGCCCAGTTACTCATAACGCACCATACTGGGCAGTGCTCAAGAGAATAGGCACCACTGCACTATTCCTTTAGGTCTGGCGTACATTTCCTGACAACCCACCCACTTTTTCCCCTCCACTTTTTCTCCCCCCCCCCCAAACTAATGAAATAATAATGGTTGATGGCATCATCTGAGAGGTAGCCTAATGGAAGGTGTTACCTGGGCTTTGGAGTCATTTCTAGGTTAGAATTCTAGAATTAACTACTACATAGCTGAAAACACTCATTTCATTAATGTTCTGCTTTGATCTCCTCCTGAAAGTTGGGGGTAGCCTGTGGTGAACTTAGAAACAAGAAATACAGAGCAACCCTTTCTCCTTCTGAGCATATTCCTCCCAGTTATCTAGTATATGGCCCACCCATAGCCTTGCCAGATGCCTAATTTTAAACCCTTTGTTTCCCATAGTTCACTCATGTCTGTATCTGATAATGTCCCCAGAAAGGGCTCTTGTAGTCTCAGAGAAGTCACCTCTCTTCTCCTGGGAGCCTTTATCTAACAGAACCAACATTGCCCTCTCCTTACACTTAGGTTTATGTTTGCTACTCAGGTTTTTTTTTTTTAATATTAAAAACCATTCACTTTCATTTATATGCAAAGTTGTTAATAAAAATATGGAGGTGAAAAAGGATTCTATGTCACACTAAGTCCAGTAAGATGCTATCATTGATAGTACTTCAGAATCTCATGATATTAAGGTTTCAAGGATTGAAGACTAACAAGAAACACTAAAGTGGTACAAAACCAATAGATTATGTGAATTTCACAAGGTATACACAATTCAGATGATGAATTAAGGCTCAAATTTCAAGGGTGAATACCTAAAAGATTTCATTAATTTCACAAAGCTCAGCAGGAAAAAAGGCCCATATAAAGAGGATAATTGAGAAGAATTTAATGAAGACACTAATTAAAAAAGGGTGAGCAGGAATAAGGGAAACCAAGTCAGGATGGTGAAATACCTCAGGAATGTCCCGATCTTTCTGCCATGATGGAAATGTTTTATATCTACATTGCCTAAGACCATAGACATTAGCTACATGTGGCTGGCTATTGAGCACTTAAAATTGATTCATGCAACTAAGCCGCTGAAGTCTTCATTTTAGTTAATCTCAATTAATTAAAGTTTAAATAGCTACACGTGACTAATAGTTGCTATACTGGATAGTGCAGCTAAGGTCTAACGAAGAGCCATTACAATTCCTAGGCCTAGAGAGGTAAGAAGGAACAATTACTGGAACTTGGAGTAATGCAGAATTAGAGCTTATAGAACTACATGACAGGAGCTATGTGGTCTTTGACAGAAGAATGCAGCCACTGATAACTTGCTGACTGGTAGAGGAAACTGACAATATCCTGACTCATTCTTCCTGCCCAACCACCCCCCTCCGCTGCTTCTGATTGGTAGAACTCACCAGAAACTAGAGGACCAAGAAAACTTTTATGCAGTCCATAAGGGTCAGTACAGAACATAGGGAAGCGTGGAGACTAGATCTGGAGCAAAACATTATCATACCATGTACAAAGAGTTAGGAATCAAATGATTTATTAGTACTTATAAAATTAGGGAATGAGTGGCAAAAAATTGAACAAAAGCATATTTTTCAATAAAGTCCTACAAATGTGTCTTATTAAAGCTATCCCAGAATTCTTTTGCATAATGCTTTAATCAAACTATAACTGGGTTCACTTCAGATTTCATACATGAAGAATGAGGTCAAACCATGTTCCTCCAGCTACATTCAACCTTGTTATTTTTTTTTTAAAGGTAGCCTTATAAAAACAAGACCTCTAAAATTGGGTAAAAACTCTTTTCTGTACCTCTCCATGGAAATCTTTAGGAAAAGGCAAAAGATTTAAGTAATCTGAAGAGAAACCAGACTATCAACCTTGTATTTTTACCAAGGATCTGTGTTAAACTTTTTCAAAGTACCATCTCAAATCACAAAGCATGTGAGTGGGAAATTTTTCATTTGTCTTAGGCTGAAGGTCATTGTAACTCAATAAATGGATAAACTTGAATGAGGAAAACCAATAAACTAGACACACAGGGATCCAAAGGCTCCCCAATTCCTACTCTAGGACTGTATGACCATTTTCTTTGGACAGACCTACTTATGTTTTATTTTTGTACCATCTCTCTGAATGTTGGTATGTATGTGTTTTAACAACCTCTTTCACTTTCTTCACTGGATAGTAGTGCTAATGAGAAGAAAATAAGGGGGAAGGAAGGAGTGGTAATATACATAGCCACAGTTTAATCCAATTTGTGGAAACCTTTATTATCTACTTTAGTGGTTCCTGAATATTTCAAAAGTCCAGTCCTACTGCCCAGCACTTAAGGAAGAAAGGTCTAATGTCACAGCATGGGGATTGAAGTAGGTGCCAAAGGAAAAGCAGTTCCCACCACCTCCAAGGAGCAGGAGCTGTTGCTCTTCAGGAAGCAAGATGCTGGTATGATTGTGTAACATTAATGGCCATGGCACACATGTTGTGTCAATTTGATACTCAGAGCTCAACCCTGTAGTCAAATCAATTACAGTCACTCCAGGAACTGAGGAGGAATGAATCCAGACCCCTCCAACCAGGAGAAGCTTCCCATTGAGCACATGAGCTGTGTGTGAGTACCTTGGAGTAATGGGAGGCTGGATGATTATTGATTCCCACAAGAATCCACCAAAGATTGGTTTTAGAAAGAGTACAGAGCTGAGTGGTTCCTCTGAAGCACCCAGACCTCCAGCAATAAGGGCTCCCCCTTGCCAGCTGCAGGCACTGTGTGAATGCCGAGCTTCAGGTGCTTCCCCCTCCACTGGGATACTGACCCAGGCCATTGTCCCCAAATGTAGGAAATGCCAGTCACTTAGAACAAGTTCCACTGCACTTCGACCCCCATACACGAACAAATATTTCTCATTCTTAAAGGACACTTCTGTTGTTGAATGCCGCCAACATGACAACATGGAATCTTCTGGACCAACCTTTGTTACTGTTACATTTAGGTCCCCAGTGCTATTATCTTCATTCTTACAGACACCAAGTTGGAGAATCCCCAAGGCTGGAGTTACTGGGGACAGTCTCCCTCCCAGAACCAGAACCTGAGTATCTGAGAGTCTTGTCATGGTGTGATAAAGACGTCCATCCCACTGGGCTCTAGTCCCACAACTGTATATTTGGTTGCCTTTCCATTCAAAGTCACAATATCTTGACAGCAAGTGAAACTTGCTCACTCGGCAATGCCGCCCCTCTTGCTCTCCAAACCCTCCTGCACTAAGAATAATGCTTGGGCTCAAAAGGACAGAGGCGTGCCCATATCTCCTAAGATTTGGGTCCTGGCTATTGCTAGTGATTACACTGGCAGGGAAGACTCCTGATGGTGAAGCAGGATCTACTCGAGGAAACGCCTCTGAGGGTGGAAACACCAGAGTTTGGGTGAGAGCATCTCCTCTAGAAGCGGCCAAAATGAAATAGTGGGCGCACTTCAGATGCCACTCCTCAAACTCATCAAAAGGTTCAAGATTTTCCACTCGCTGGCATTCTTCTGGGGGGAGAAAGCAGCGATAGAATTCATTCATGTCCATGGCACAGCAGGCAGTCCAGCCAGCCTGAAGGAAGCGGTGCTGCTGGGCCTTCACGTCGGGAAAGCGGTCCAGGCCATGCAGGGGAGAATTGAGCTGCCGAAAATGCTGCTGCATGAACTGGCCAAAGGCATCGTGCGGCCTCATCTGCTCGTAGATCACGAAAAGCGCATCAGGAAAACGCTGGGCTGCCCAGGAGATGAGGGCCGCGGCCTCGTTCGGCTCGAGGTAGGTCAGCACCGCCTCTGCTAGGAGCAGAGTGGGTGCGGTTGCGTGGAGGCCCGCGGCGGCCAGGGCCTGATCCAACTGCGGGAGCTGACGCAGGTCCAGGCCAAGGAGGCAGTAGTCTAAACTCTCAAAGCACAGCTCTGACGCGGGGTCTCTGTTCTGGAAAGGCCCAGTTAACGCGCGCAGTTCCGGTGTATCTTGAATCCTTTCCGCTTTGCGCCGGGCCACGTCCGGAAAATCTACTTCCCAGATTGCAACCCCGGCCAGGCGGCCCGCACTTTTCAGGCGAAAATACAGAGAATCCGAGCCAGCTCCCAGCGACAGGATCTGAGCCCGAGGCGCGCCAGGAGCGGCGCACGTCCGTTCCAGGAAGGCGCGCACGCAGTGCCCCACAGCGCGTGCGCGGACGTAGTAGCCGCGGTGGATGAGCGGCGCGCGGCGCGCGGTCCCCGGAACGAGTAACGCGGCAAAAGGATCGTGCACGTACCCGTGCGTGGCCAAGGAACTCTTGCTGAGGGCGCTGCTGTCGTTAGTGCTCTGTACTGCCCCCGCGCGACGCTCGCGGCTCCGAGGGCCCATGGCCAAGAAGAGGGTGAGGAGCGGCGCTCCGTCACAGTGGTGAGCTGCTCTTCCGTTCTGTAATACCCACTTCGGGGACTTCTGTACGGAAAGCGCTTCTCCGTGACTCCCCTTCCGCGTGTGCGCGCGTCACTTCCGTGAAGAACGCACCTCACCAATGAGAATTCAGAAGAGTGTGGCTTGAGCTAAAATTCGACTGTCATTGACATTTTAAGATTTTCTGGGTCTGCATTTCTGAGGAAGACTTAACCGCTATGACTTATTGTGGGCATGTGGACTGTGTCCGGGGAGTGCGGGATGTCGCTTTTCTACAAGCCTTTACGTCTTGAAGGGAAAATTTAGCAAGGTCTCATAGTTGTCTCAGCCGTTGACAAAAATCATTAAGGGGTGAGTCTGTGAGGACTGACAACCGGATCTCCTTGGTCGGCAGAGTCAGCATTGCGTTATCTGGTAGCGGCACAGCAGGGTTAGTTAGAACCTCTGACCTTGGGGGACAAGGAGAAGGGGTTGTTCCTCAGATGCTAACTACTAGTACTTACTAATTTATTTAACGCTTTCGTAGTTCAAAAAGAGATCCCATTTAAATCTGAAAACAAGTCAGGGGGGTCAGGTGCAAAATGAAGAAGCTTACAGACGTTGTGATTCATCCAAAAAATGTTTCCCCACAGACGTATACTATTAATTCCCCAGTATTCCCGGCTCTGTGCAAAGCGACAACAAATAAACCACTCAGCCTCTGTTTCTGTGTTATAAAATGACATTCCCCTCCGTTTCCAAAAGTCTGTGATTCTAAGGTAGTGTTGAATATATCCACAGGAGAGGGAATCACAGAAGAGAGGTGATTTTTCCCTTTGAAATGGTCTGAGTCTTGGGTGTTTAAAATAACTATCGAGTTTGAGGTTGCCTGGGTGGCTCAGTCCGCTGAGCGTTCCTCTTCGGCTCAGGTCATGATCTCAGTGCTGGTGAGTTCCACATCCTCGTGGGGCTCTGTGCTGACAGTTCAGAGCCTGAAGCCTGTTTAAATTCTGTGTCTCCCTCTCTCTCTCTCCCCCTCCTCCTCTCAAAAGTAAATAACATTTGAAAAATAAAATAACCGTCGAGCTTTCTAAGTTGGGTGTTTAGAAGTCATAATCAGTAGGAAACTGCTTCCAGAGATATTTGGGAGATTTATAATTTCTTAATTGGGATTTGGTGACTGACTGCAGGGCTCAGGTGGAGAAGGAAATCAGGATGACTGTAACTATGGTGACCTCGAGGCAGTGTAGCAGAATGATTAAGAGCAAGAGTTTAGGAGTCCAGCTGATTTGGACTTGGGTACTGGAACTTAGAAGATGGAGTCAGGATAAAGGTTTGGTAATTGAAAAGTGCCTTTATATTTGGTGTTGAAGAGCTTTTAATGACTTTAGGGAGAGCAATTTCTGTGGAGCAGTAAAGAAAGAATTCATATTCAGTAAATGAGAGATAAGTAATGGGAGGCAGCCAGTCTAAATTATGCTTTCAAGGAGCTTAGCTTAGAATGAAAGGAAAGACAAGGCAGTAAAGAGGGATATGTGATGAAAGAAAGGTTTTGTTTGCTTGTTTCTTAGGTGGAAGCAAATACTGTACCTGTGTGTTGGTTCCCTGAGGGAAATTAGCCAGTAGAGGGAGAGGTTGGAGGAACAGAAAAATGAGAACTTTAACTGGTGGAGTAATGACTTGAATTAGCTGGGAGGGAATGGGATTTAGGGCACAAATTGATGTTGAGAACAGAATGAATCCTTTTTCTTTAACTTATGAGAGAAGAAGGTGCATAGATATAGTTAAGCTTAGGTGTAGGTGAGGGCAGAGAGAAATACTGGTGACTTCTGTTATCTTCTGTAAAGCTGGCAGCTGGGTTGTTAGTTCAGTATGAGGGGATTGGGTCTAGTGGAAGTCTTGAGGTGTTTGGAATTGCCTTTGATAGGAATGGGAGAAGCACTCCCCTGAGCTTGCGGGGCTGTGGAATCCTCATCTCTAAAATGAGAGGAGTACTGGGGTGCCTGGGTGGCTCAGTTGGTTAAAGTGTGAGTTAAAGCCCCATTTCGGGCTCTGTGCTGACAGCTCAGAGTCTGGAGCCTGCTTCAGATTCTGTGTCTTCCATTCTTTCTGCCCCTCCCTTACTCATGCCCTCTCTCCCCTCTCTAAAAAATAAATAAACATAAAAAAAATTTTTTTAATGAGAGGAGTAAGTGCTGGTTTCTGAGTTGACTCAGATTTGATTGAGGGCCAAAGAAGAAAAAAAAAAGAATTGTAGGAGTTTAAAGTATGTATACAGTTATATAGAAGTATATTTTTATGATAAATTAGTAAAATATATGTGATATGTTAGAAATATTAATTTTTTTGATAAAGAACAGATCAAGAAAAGCGATTCAGGAAAAAAGAGAATGGAGCAAAATTTGTGATTCGGGTACCTTACAATTGTTTTCCAGTTATTACTTTTTTAATCTGTTTATTCTCATGTAAAATGAGGATGATAATATCTCACAGATCGTAGTGAGCATTGAGTAAAATGACCACCTAAGAAACTTAGCACAGTGTTTGGTTCATGATAAGTACTTAATATATAGTAACAAATGTCTTTATTATTTTAAGTACCCCCGACTTTTTTTTTTTTTTTTTTTTGGCATGAAAAATATTCTCTGGGAGACAGGAGACTTGATTCTGATCTTGCAAACTTGATGAAATGTAATACAAGTGTGGAAAGATCTTAGCTCAGTGTGTTGCCTTTTGGCTACTCACTCCCATCCCAGCTTTTTCTGGCCCATGAGAAACCTAGCCCAGGAAGGTAGAATGTGACAGGGCCTGGTATTGTTGATGGCAGTATCTTGGGCTTGGATCATTGAAACAAGTTTTTTATTTTTTTAAGTTTATTATTATTATTATTTTTTAGTAATCCCTATGCCCAATGTGGGGCTTAAATTCACAGCCCCAAGATCAAGAGTTGCATGGTCCTCAAACTGAGCCATCCAGGTGCTGGGGAGCAACAGTTTTTTTAAATGTGTAACGATTGTGCTTTTTGGTGCCTCTCAAATTTCCCAGAAGTTAACATTGTAGCCAGTGGGTCAGTAAATTTACAATGAGTTAAAGCTCAATCTGGAGAGTGGCTTGAATGTAGCACAAAATAAAATCAGGATTCTAGAGTCAATCCTAAAGGATTGACTGGTCAATAAGACCAATCCTAGAGGATCGAAAATGTATATGATTATTAGCCCACTATGAAAAATGTCCTAAGTACTTTCTTAGGTTGTTGTTCTGTTGTCTACACATAAAAGTTCTTCCCTCTCACAATTCATAATAATAAAATTGTTTTGCAAGTTTTATATATGTATTTAAAAGTTTTATATATATATAATTTAATTATAGTTACTTAAATTTAATTTATTAACTATTAATTTTTATTAAAATTATTGGTAAGTACATTATCTAAATTTGTTATTCAAAATTTTAATTTATTACACTTGATCTTAGCCAAAAGGCAGAGAAGCCATTCAAAATTTTAATTTATTAAAAGTATTTCAGAAAGGAATCAAGTATTACATGCTTGTTGTAGAACCTTCAAATTGCACAAAACTATGTATGGTAAATAAAAGTAAATTTTAAACTATTTGTAAAAAAAAAATATTCAAGTGAAAAAAAAATAATAAAAGTAAATTTGTCTTCCTTGACCTTTGCCATTTCCAACCCACTTTCTTAAGACTTCTATGTATCCTTTCTACCTAGGTATATGTATGGTTTATGTCCCTCTCTGTTTTATATTATTTTTGCTTCCCTTCCCTTATGTTCATCTGTTTTGTATCTTAAATTCCACATATGAGTGAAATCATATATTTGTCTTTCTCTGACTTACTTCACTTAGCATAATACACTCTAGTTTATGTTTGTTTCAGTGTTTGTTTTGTTGTTGTAAATGACAAGATTTCATTCTTTTTGATCACCAATATTCCAGTGTGTGTGTGTGTGTGTGTGTGTGTGTATATATATATATATATATATATATATATATACCATATCTTCTTTATCCATTCATCAGTTGATGGACATTTGGGCTCTTTCCATACTTTGGCTATTGTTTATTGACCATTTTAATATTGTGGTAACTTATTTAATGCCTCTCAGTATCAATTTATTGATTTGTAATGTGGCAAATTTATTTTGCAAAGTAATTAGAATTAAAAATAATAGTAAAAGCACTTGCTACTTACCTGGTAGAATCTGAATGGAAACTACTCTTCTTCCATCATCATTAAGATGGGATAACCTAGAGGTCAGGGTGTCTATTCTGAAAATCACTAAATTTCATTTGAAATTTTATCTTAATTTATAAACCACCTTCAGAGGTGAAGGGAAATGATGATTTATTTATCATCTACCATGTGCTCAGCATTGTCTTAGGTGCTAGGGAGGTAGATTAAGCCATAGTTCTTGTTCTGAACAAGTTCTTCATCTGGTGAGGAAGAAAGACAAGTAAGTCAGTGATTGAGATATAGTGTGACAAAGTGCTCATGTAAAGATAGTCACTGGGTTATATGGGAATGTAGTAGAGGGGAATTTAAATTACTTTATTAATCCTCAAAGCTACTCTGCATTTGTATCCCATTTTTACAAATAAGAAAACTGAAACTAAGTAACATAGGCCATACAGCTACTAGGTGGCAGAACCAGTATAAGGATTAATTTAGGTCCATGTGATTCCAGTTCCTATGCTATTCCTTTTATTTTATTTTATTTTATTATTTTATTTTATTTTTTATTTTTGAGAGAGAGACAGAGACAGCATGAGCCAGGGAGGGGCTAGGTGAGAGAGAGAGAGAGAGAGAGAGAGAGAGAGAGAGAGAGAGAGAGAGAAACCCAAGTAGGTTCCTCACTGTCAGCACAGAGCCCAATGCAGGGCTCAAACAGACAAAACCATAATATCATGACCTGAGCCGAAACCAAGAGTTGGATGATTAACCAACTGAGCCATCCAGGTGTCCCTCTTCCTTTATATTTTTTAAGCAACTCAAAAATGTAAACTTTTACCCAAAACAGACTTTATAAATTTATCCTTTTATTTTATGTTATTTTTTTATGTCTAAATAGTATTTATTTTCTTTTTTTAAAAAAGTTTATTGTCACATTGGTTTCATATAACATCCAGTGCTCATCCCCACAAGTGCCCTCCTCTATGCCCATCACCCCCTTCCCCCCCACCTCCATTATGCCTCAGTTCTCAGCATTCAAGAGTCTCTCATGGTTTGCCTCCCCACCTCTCCCCAACTATTTTTCCCTTCTTCTCCCCCATGGTCCTCTGTTAAGTTCCTCCTAGTCCTCCTATATGTGCAAACATATGATATTTGTCCTTCTCTGCCTGGCTTATTTCGCTCAGC